AGAAGTAGTAGTAGTAGTAGAAGAAGAAGAAGTAGTAGTAGTAGTAGTAGAAGAAGAAGAAGGAGAAGGAGGAGAAATGGTAGTAGTAGTAGTAGTAGAAGAGGAAGAAGAAGAAGAAGAAGAAGAAGAAGAAGAAGAAGAAGAAGAAGAATCTTTATCGGGTTGGGAAGCCCTGGAATGCATTGGTGAGAACCAATAAAGCGCAAAGTAAAATGTTTGTTAGGGGGAAACGCTTGGGGTTGGCGGGAAGCAGGGAACGATGATCTCTGGAAAAAGACGAACGATTCTGTCATTAATCCTTTGCATGGATCTTTGGTCAGAGAAGTACGAGCATGCGTAATGTGCACATACCATAACGGGATATGACCGTTCTCGCCCCCTGCCCCCCACAACCGACCACTTACACAGATATACAGAAATATATACACAAGTACTTATATCGATTAATGTACACACACACACACACACACACACACACACATATATATATATATATATATATACATATATATATAATTGTATATTTGGGTAGCAATCCTTCTTTTATACCAGTTTCCTTACTGACAAGTTACTGTGATTAAAATTTTTATGTAATTTTTATTTTGTTCATATAAGTGTTTAATTTCCATAAAGTGTGTAAAAATGTCCAAATATTCAAGCGCTTTCGGCTATTCTATTAGCCATTATCAAATAGAGGTATTTATATACAAGAGAAAAATGGTATTTTTTTAGAAATTGCTCTGGTATATAAATATTTGTTACAAAATAAAATCCTTGCATTTGCCTTGAAAAAGTGCAACAGAGGACGAAAAGCGTCGGCTAAGATAAGTTTCCCTTTCGTCCTTATTGTTATACCTGACGTACCTATTCTATTATTAATAGACTCTCCCACACATAATAAGTAGTAGTAGTAGTAGCGGTCGCCAGTTGGGCTCAGTGGTGTTGAGTGAGTCAGTCGATATCGGACATTGAAGTACCAACCATCACAACTAGATTGATGCGTCATTAACTCTTATTTCAAGTTCCTAACGTTTTGTACGTCGAACCTAATTTAGGACGACTTATTGAAATACAAGCCTCCACTCTGAAAACTATTCTACAACACTTATTCATATTATCCTTTTATAGATATACTCTATGTGAAATTCTACGCACACATACACACATGTGAAAAAAAATCAGCCAACCGTGTTGAAAAAATTAAAGGAAATAGTTTAGTTTTTCAACAACGTTGCCTTTTTTTAAAATTTTTTTTATATGTGATGAACTTATTGTTCCTAAGAGAGGGTTTAACATTTTTGCTATGACTCTAGCTATTTTGTGTGGGGGAGCGCTAAGGGAAATAAATATGACTGACAAACTCATATCCAGTCTAGATATAAAATCACTTTACACTAATATCCAGGTTGTAAAATGTTTAAATCTCTTTAAAAAAAGGCATCTAACAAAATGAAAGATAAACCTCTCCCTACCAACAGCAAAAATAATAAAAAATATGCCCACTCATCACCAATTAATGTTATTTCACATTCAATAAAAATTTTTACAAACAAAAATTTGGATTGTCAATGGGATCGCCTCTCAGGGCAGTGATGGCATGTATTTTCTTAGAATTTCTCGAGTCCGCTTCTTTCCAAAACATTTTACCTAAACAATCAACTGTGACGTCGTCCCCTGGTCGCAGCGCCAACTGTGACGTTCTATCCTGATCTACCACGGCACCAGTTGTGACGTCCCCAAACAGCACCAATTGTGACGTCCCCAAACAGCACCAATTGTGACGTCCTCGCCGTGGCGCCAGCTGTTCGCTCCTCGCTGCTCCGTTCGAGTGTCGCTGCTCCAAACGTGACGTCCGCCTGTCGCGTCAGTCGTGTTGTCTCGTCCTGTGACGACCAACTGGCTTGGTATCGGTCGCGGCACCCAAATGTGACGTTCTAATCTTTTGGTGATTCGGGTGGGAATCTGGTTAGATTTGATATCAGCCTCGTCGTTCCCAACTCGCTTCCAACGCCTGGTTACCAAGGTAACTGCATTGATCTCCAGTCTGCCCACCCACGTTGTGAATTGATCTTAGGCAGACGAGATCAATCAGTAGTCGGGGCCGTAATGCAAACTGAGTTCAACGGGGGTGATACCACACAAATATACATAAAAGAAAATAAAATGAAAACTCAAAAAGTTCAAAGTATCAAAGAAAACGGTAACAAACTTTATGTCTAGTTGTTCGATACATAGGACTGTATCTATCTCCCGAACCGTTCTGTGGATTGTGACACGTCGTTTTCCGTTAGGCAAGTTTTAACGCTTCAAGTTGTTTGCTCTCTAAGAAATTGGTGTTTCGGTGTGTCTTTGGACGAAAGTCGAAAAAAAAAACTTATTTCGGTGGTCTGGATCTAAGTCGCTCTTCAAAATAATTGTTCTTGGGTTGAAGAGGAGTCCGGAATTTGCGTGAATCTTGGTCAGCTAAACTCACTGGAACTGCTGGAGCCCGAACTGATTTCTGCTCGTAGGGGCTTCGCTTTTATGGACGCCGACCAAAACCGGGGTGGGTCTGTCGGCGCCGGGGTTTCCTCGATAATTCTAAATACATATCCACCTCTTTTATTTCTGGTTAGGGATTTTCCACTCTTTTCCATTTTGGGGAACCTTTCCTCACTCCCACCTTCTCACCATACTTCAGAGGGCGTGAACTGCCCTCCCCACTTCTTCGTAGCAGCTTCTCATACCTATACTCTGGATGAGGCGTCGACAGCCTCCTTCGTGCGTCACGTGATCACCACTCGACCAATGAAGTCTTAGTCGAGCGTGGACAATCCGCGGCTTTGTTTCAGGAAGAAAAATAATATCTTGCTTAACTAAAAAAAAATTATCTCTTCTCTTTTACCTTTCTTCCTCTTAATCGCCGTTATCATTTCCCTAGCCGCAAACGGGACAATATAACTCTTGTTCTACACGTGGTTTTTGTCAGGTATTTTATCGCTAATTATCAGAATGGATGGTCTTCTTAACACGGCCTCAAAAAAGAAACATCTTCAAAATTTCAGTCAGTCTGTCGCCTCGAAGCAAGAAGAAAAAACACTTCTGGGTCCCCATTCATTTTCCTTCGGTACATATTTCTGATAACATAATTTTATTATCGCAGGCCAAAGATGTTCTGCGGCAAGAAAATCGGTCAGTGTAGTTACTTCGTGTGTGTCGCGATTAATTTTTCCATATCTACCCAAAGCCCTGTAGTTACACCTGTGTTTTGTCAATTATCAAAATTAACGTTTTCAATTGGACTTTTCTTTGGCGAACATTTCTTGATAACATGATTTTATGATCGCAGGCATAAAGATGTTCTGCAGCAAGAAAATCGGTCAGTGTAGTTACTTCGTGTGTGTCGCGATTAATTTTTCCATATCTACCCAAAGTCCCTGTTTTTCGTCACTTATCGAAATAACATTTTCATTTGAATTCTTCTTTGGCCAGCCGACCAGCCGTTCGTTTACGTACCCCTAGATAACACAGCCGTTATCAAAACACATCTGATTCTTTCTTTCTTTCCCTTTCTTTTTACTCAGAATTTCCCTGTCATTGTAATGACACCCTTTCGCCATTTGTTACTTATCAATATATTCATTGTCTCTTAGCCGTGTATGTGTATGCTTATCACCCACGATTCGTCTCGCCTTTCTTTCTGCCTTCTTTTCTTTCTTTTCCTTTTTTGCCTCGTAAATGGTGCCACACAACTTACTTCCCATATATTAATGATGCTCTATTAATATATCCCCGTGTTATTAACATACCGGATCTTGTAGGTAAACTAAACAAAGTCGAGACACACAATAGAATTTACATACGAAATAGAAAAAAGACAATACTTTTCTTAGACATCATGTTACACCGAGTTGACAACTGCCTAGAACTTAGTGTCCCCCGAAAAATCAACCAATAAAAATGATTTAATAAACTTCTACTCCCATCATAATAACAAAATAAAATCCGGAATGATCATAGGATTCAATTTAAGAGCACTACGAATGTGCAGCCCTTAGTATTTACACGAAGAGGAGAAATTTATTGAAAGTACTTTCAAGGCCATTCAGTACCTTAACTATTTCAGCCTTCTTCAAGTGATTGGAATATCGAATTGAACCCTTTATTTTGTCCACCATTTTTCTAGTTCCTCGTGCCATACCTCTTCCCGATGTCTCAGTTATCTCCCTTTAACTCAACTCACCAAGTTTTTTTTTCACCACTGCAGTAGCCAGATATACTCACAAGTCTTCAGTTCGAAATTCCAATCACCTGAAGAAGACTGGAGCGTACAACGGCCAAAACGTCGTGAATATGGCAATAAAGATAGGGAAAAGAGTCCGAACAATGTAAATAATGCAAATAGTTACAATACCTCATCTCAGAAATATAGACAAATATTGATGCGTTAGTCTTGAAGTTTTTATATCTGTGGGCAGAATTTTGGACAAATGAAGGTGACTTTCCTATTAATGGATCAATTATATCTACAAGGAAGCGTCTAGGATGGTGGCACTCAGAGCCTTAGCAGCTAACAATCAACCTGAGCGAATTAGCGTCTTTGTGAATTTTGAGGAGACCGTATATGTGAGGAAGCTTGAATTAACACTGCGACAACTGCCTGTATATCTTAAGTGGGAAGTGGTCCTTGTTCTTGATTAGGATCTGCGACAGTGTTCGTTCTGTTCTCATTGTTGAATCTTTCTTTATTTTACTGTAGCTACCATTTAACTGAGACATCTGGAAGAGACATAGCACGTGGAACTGGAACAATCTAGCCCGGTGGACAAAATAAAGTGTTCACTTCGAAATTCTTATCACCTGAAGAAGGACGGAGTGTACAAAGGCTGAAACGTCGTGAACATGACAATAAAGATGGGGACAAAAGTACAAACAATGAAAATAGAGTAAATAATTAAAACAGCTGATCTCAGTAATATAGACACATTTTAGTTTCTATTAAGTGGATACCCGTATTTAAAATGTCTCAGTTCCTATCTATCTATCTATCTATCTATCTATCTATCTTTTATCTATCTGTTCATCTTTTCTATCTATCTATCTATCTATCTATCTATCTATCTATCTATCTATCTATCTATCTATCTTCAGTCTCTTCCTATCTGTCTGTTCATATCTATCTATCTATCTATCTAGAGAAAGAGAGAAAGGGAGAGAGAAGGATAGACATTAGACTGTTAATTATCGATTTCAATGTGTTCATGATCTATCTATCTATCTATCTATCTATCTATCTATCTATCTATCTATCAAAGAGTTCATTATCTATCTATCTATCTATCTATCTATCTATCTATCTATCTATCTATCTATCTATCTTCAGTCTCTTCCTATCTAAGTCTGTTCATATCTATCTATCTATCTATCTATCTATCTATCTATCTATCTATCTGTTCATTATCTATCTAGAGAAAGAGAGAAAGGGAGAGAGAAGGATAGAGATTAGACTGTTAATTATCGATTTCAATGTGTTCATGACCTATCTATCTATCTATCTATCTATCTATCTATCTATCTATCTATCCCTTTAAAAAAACACAACAAAAATAATGTCGGATCCTAAATAAAATCCATTAATTCTTTAGAAATTACTTTGTTCACATTTCGGATTCGAAAAGAAATTTAGTAGTATTGGCTTCGAGAGATCCAAACAAGAAATATGAATTTTTTTAAATAGGGTAATTGTTTTTTTTTTTGTTTTTTTTTTTTTTGCCTGTGGTAGCTTTCTGCGATTGAGTGATATAAAGTCCAGCGATCTTGGTGGTGGTTGTCTACTATAAAGAGGAAGCAAGATCAAACCCTGCCGGAGGTATATTTCTTCCTTTATTATGATTCTCGAATGCACAGGTCGGTTGACGTAATTTTACGTGGTTTGAAAAACGGGAATGAATAGGAGGAGATAGGTTCGCCTATCGCCCGGTTCGCACTACTTTTCGGTCATTTGAATAGAAGTAGAGGTTTATCCCCCGTATTTAGTTTAGGATTGGGTTTCCGGTTCCTTCTATAGTTTACTTCAACTCTAGAATTCTTAATGTTTTCGCTTTAACTCTGTAATTTTCTTTCTTTTTTTTTTTTTTTTTATCTCAATAGGAGTAGATACGTTCGCCTATCGTCCTGCACACTCTCTTCTGGTGTTTTGAACAGAAGCAGAGGTTTTTTCCTGCTTAAGATTGGGTTTCCGATTCCTTCTAAAGTCATTCTCTTTGACTCCCAGTAGCCCCTTGCGTCTTAGTGGCATTATCACTTTGCTTGGATTGAACCGATTTCAATTATATATCCACTGCATATAACTTTTTTTTTCTGAGATGAAACTAAACGAAATTGTGATTCGAAATCAGTGCTTCCTATTATCGCCTTAGACTGTAAAAATTTATCATTTCAGACCAATATGTAGCTTTTCATTATACTTCGTCTTTGTAAATTTATTCCGCCATAAATATATTGTGCCAAATGCAGAAATTAATTGTCGGGTCAAAGATTTTCAAACAGAACATGTTTCATCCTTAACATCAGTTAACTTATCCAATTTGCACTTGCAAATATGTTGTTTTTTTATGATTAATTGTTTCATATTAGTGATTCGCAACATGGGCGGTAACGCTCGCCTGCGGGTGCTATAAATTTGCAAGGGGTTAGTAAGTGTTCAACAGGAGTTATGGAGGAGGCGCTATAATTTTAACAGGTTAGTAAAATGATTTAAAGAATATTTACTATATTTTGACGTATTTTAAATATTTATCTACGATTGAAAAATAAGTATGGAGCAAAAACTTGCAAGTCTCAGAGATTTCGCTTTAACTATTCCTGTCACAGTTTAACTTCCGGTGATTGGCGCTACGATAATGCAACGAAACATAAACACGTAACAGTAAATCTGTTGCATCGATTCTGCTCCACTTACCAGTGTAATTTTAAGACAGTGAGTGCCAGCCAGCTCAAAAATCTGAAAAGTAGCGCTAAAGTAGAAAATGTTAAGAACGACTGTTTTGCATCATTTGATGGTCTTCTTTGATTGTAATGGTAATGGCGAAATAAGCCATATTCATTCGGTATTCATTAACCAAACGTGATACATAGGCGATCATGTATCTTTCGATACATGACTGACGAGGCATATTATTTCCCGCAGTAGGTTGCCATTTCTTTCTGTGGTAGACCAGATGACATCCAAGCCTATAGAACCCAGTCTGTTCTGCTATTTAACCATAGCTGGGGGAAAGGAAGAGGATTCATAACTTTCCCAAGGGTATTAGCAGGTATGCGAATGCAATAGATTTGACTGGAATTCGAACTCGGCTCTCCGATTCCTCAATCCGAGATGCTATTCCTCCACCGTCAATCAGTCAGCGTTTACTCGCGATTGAAAATTTTAATATCTTTTTTTTAAAAGTTTTTTTTTTCATTAAATTAAATTTCTTAATATCTGTCTATATGTCCGAGATAAGGTATAATATACACTATTTACATTATTCGGACTATCGTCCACATCTCTTTTGCCATATTTACCACAACGTTTTGTTGTGATAAATATGGCATCCAACAGACATGGTACGTGGAACTAGAACAGTCTACCCCAGCGAGCGAAATAAAGGGTTCAGTTCGACATTCCAACCACCTGAAGAAGGCCGGAGAGTACAACGGCCGAAACGTTGTGATAAATATGGCAACAAAGATGAAGACGATAGTCCGAACAATGTATTAGGTTGGTGCAAAAACAATGACGTAATAATGTCGTTTTTTGACGTTAAAAAATACATCAAAAAACGACATTATCACGTCATTATTTTTGCACCAACCTAATAAATAGTGTAGATTTCTCAAGTTGACTAACGGTTATCGTTCTTTCTAATACTGATGGGATTTTCCTAGCCAGCCTTTTGTTTGATGTAGTGCAGAAAGACAAAATCTTGATTATATCATCATTTTGCCTTCTAGTTACATGTGTTATCCATTTTAGTTGTTGTTTTGTAGGAAGTCTCCAAGTGATGTGGTTTATGTTATTTGGTAAACGTCTTTGTGATTCTGTAGCGCCAGTCTAGCAAAAATGCTATCTATTAAGTATTTTACCAACAGAGATGCCCCACGATGTGAACCACGCATTAGAAATGTACAAAACTAATTTAATGCTTTGAATATTGCTGCCACATCTGATCTTGTGTTCCTCCTACATAATTAGAGATTCTTGATAAAATCTAAAGAAGAATCTGCAATGTTATTGGTCTTGGACTGGCATCTCGCCTTCAGTCCGTTTCCCACCGCCATAACATAACTTTCCTGTGTCTTTTTTAATAAATATTTTCATGATGAACTTTCCTCTATGGTACCTAGACTTTGTGAATTTGAAAGCAATACTAGATTGGCAGTCAGGTCTAATCAATTTACAGTTGAAATGACGAGATGTAACCGTAAGTTCTATGCTAACAGTTTATTCTATTACCCTCCTCGCTTGTGGAAATTTCTTTCGACTTCTTGTTTCCCAGTCAACTTTGATTTTTAGAAATGCAAATGCAATGTCAATTGTTATCTTCTTTCTTCTTAATTCTTTTATTGTCTTCTAACACTCAGTAACATCTTGTGACCTTGTTGCTTTATTCCCTTGCTTGGGGCGAAATAATGAAAAAAAAATCATAATTTCTGCCAAATTTGGTAATATTATAATTTCTCTCATTTTTGCTTATAGTGTAATTTCCACCATGTTCACTTATGTTATAATATCCGCCATTTTTGTTTATACTATAATTTCTGCCATTTTTTCATAATATATATATTATTCTTATGAAAAATATTTATTTTTATTTACTACTATCTATTAGTGGTTGCATAAATGTATATTTGTTACTATATAAATTCGAATTCACTTCAAAACTTGACTTTTCAAATGTTTCGTGAAGTTTTAAATCCTTAAGAAATCCTTGTATGTTTGCATTTTTTTCATTTTGATTTTAGAGGAGTAACTTCAAGATCTAATTGCCAAAATACTGTGTTTTTTTTTCAGTAGGAAAAAAGAAAAGAAGTATAAAATGAATGAAGGAAGGTAGGAAGAAAGAAAGGAAGAACGGAAGGAAAGAATGAATGACTGAATTAATGAAAAAACAGAGGGAGGGAAGAAGGAAAGAATGAATGAATGAGATGGAAGAGTTAAAGGGAGAAAAGAAAGGATGAATGAATGAAGGAAGGCATGAAGGATAAAAGGGATGAATGAATGATGGAAGGAAAGAAAGAAAGAATGAATTAATAAAGGAAGGAAGAGAGGGAGGAAGAAGGGAGAGAAAGAAAGAATGAATGAATGAATGAATGAATGAATGAATGAATGAAGGAAGGAAGGAAGGAAGGAAGGCAGGAAGGAAGAATGAAAAGAATGAATGAATGAACGAGGGAAAGAAGGAAAGAATAAATGAATGAAAGAAGGGAGAAGGAAAAGAGAAAGGAAAGAATGAACAAAGGAAGGAAGGGAGGAAGGAAGGAAAGAACGAAAGAAAGAATGAATGAATTAATGAAGGAAGAGAGGGAGGAAGAAAGGAAAGAAAGTATGAATGAATGAATGAAGGAAGGAAGGAAGGAAGGAAGGAAGGAAAGATGGTAGGAAGGAGGAAAGAATAAATGAATGAAAGAGAGAAGTGAAGAGGAAAGGCAAGAAGGAACAACGGAAGGAAAGAATGAATGAATAAAGGAAGGAAGGGAGGGAGGAAGAAAGCAAGGAATGAGTAAATAAATGAACGAAGGAAGGAAAGAAATGAATGAATGAATGAAGGAAGGAAGGAAGGAAGGAAGGAAGGAAGGGAGGGAGGAAGGAAAGATGGAAGGAAGGGAGGAAAGAATAAATGAATGAAAGAGAGAAGTGAAGAGGAAAGGAAAGAATGAACAACGGTAGGAAAGAATGAATGAATAAAGGAAGGAAGGGAGGGAGGAAGAAAGCAAAGAATGAGTAAATAAATGAACGAAAGAAGGAAAGAATGAATGAATAAAGGAAAGAAGGAAGGAAGGAAGGAAGGAAGGGACTGTTGTTAAACGACTAAGTGATCGCTTCGACTTTACTCTTTAGATGTTATTTAAACTTGCTTGTTCTTCGGGTGGCTTGTTTTACGTTTTCCCTACCCCTTATAAATAATCTCTCTTTAAACACAAGTACGGAGACCTTCATGCACTCTACACCCTTGTCTGCACTCATATCAAACCCTCATATAATGCATATTTCATAGAGTCTATGATGGATGACTGCATAAATTAGAGATTAGTAATTAACTGTGCCGAAACTTTCATAAAAACGGATCATCTTTCTTCAATAATTGTTCGGGGGAAAGTTCTAAAATAGGTTCAGACACAATAAAGCAATTGTCTTGTAAGCCTGAGCAGGGGTCGAGCTGTACGCGACGGTGGGACTTTTCTCGACAGGATGAAAGGGGTGAATATTAAAGAGGTCGCCATCTTGGATAAACCACAGCTCATTCATCACCACGAACGTCCGAGAGGAAGAGGAAGTAGCCAGAAAAAGAAAAGAAAAAAATAAAAACTGTATGTCAAGTGTGATGATTATTGTCAAGTAGTGAAATAAATAAATAAATACAAATAGTCCATTTTACAAACCGAAAAACCATAACAATATCTTCGAATTGGGTGGAGGCAACGCTTTTCGATGTCATGAAGAATTACATAAACAATGGCGATATTTATGATGAAATTAAACTCGGTTTTACCAGAATTTGGTACAGATACGGACATAGCTGTTACCACAACACAAAACGGAAATAAAGATGATTTTTTTTTATTATCTGAGACTAAGTTCGCTTGACATTTTGAGAGACGTTTATCCAATCCTATCTCTGTTATGCTTCAAACTACGACCACTTAGACAATAACAGTGGCACAATGTTAATACTAATGGTAATACTAAACGTTTCCTTACTATGGAAACATTTGGTACTGATCGAGCAGCCAGTGTTAGACTTTATTTCACTCCCTGGCCATCGAACCGGTATTAAAGTGTAGTATCTTTTTCTAATGGTAATAGCAATATTAAACGTTTCCTTATAAGGAATCAACATTCACTGACCGAGCAGCTGGTAATATCCGAAATATGCTTTACTCCCTGGCCACTAGGCTAAGATCAAAGTGTAGTATCTGTTCTTTTCCTATTAGATGGGAACTTTTGACATTCATTGATCGTGCAGCCAGTGCTACTCTCGCTTAAAATTTATAAAATATTTCTATTAAAAATGTTTTTTAAAAAAAAATGTTTCCTAAGGCCACTGGTACCGCTCTTTCTAGTATTAATGGGGCTTTCCTTCCCAACCATTTGTTTGAAGTAGTGTGGAATATCAATGTCTTGATCATAACAATATATATTGTTGAAAGTTCTACAGTCGTGCAATTTCTGTTATATCTTCTATCTATATATACACTGCGTGCCAAATTATTATCGAGATAACTTTTTTTCTATTTCAAAAACCGTCCAATCAATTCACACAAAATTGTCACCCAATGTTGGCAACATTGAGTTGCGCAGTCACTGAAATTTTCGTACTGATCTACGAAAATTTCAGTGATTGCTTTGGTCAGTGTTGCCAACATTGGGTGAAAATTTTGTCTGAATTGATTGGACGGTTTTTGAAAAAAAAAAGTTATCTCGATAATAATTTGGCACGCAGTGTATAAAACTGACTATGTGTGTGCGTGTGTTCGCTATCTATTCGAGAACTATGAGGCATATTTTCACCAAAATTGGAACATAGATTTTACTTGATACTGGATGTGTCTGGACAAAAAAAAAATTAGTCATTTTTCAAAAATCAATAACCGATAATCGATAAATATAATGTTTAAAAGGGAATTTCGATTAGTTTGGTTGTTCTTAAACTTTCAGACTTGAAGTCTAAAACCTAAGACCGATTTTAATGAAACTTGATAAGTGTATGCAACTGACTGTCACGCTTATTATACGCTATATTGATTTTCGTTTCTCTCGACACTGGGACACCCAGGGTGCTCCAAAGGAACACCCAAAAATTCAAATTGCTTCGATTTTGATGAGATTTTGCATGTTTGTTACACTCTTAGAATGAGATAGAAATTGGTTGTCAGATTTTAAAAAAAATGCATGAGGCCCCTCCCACCAGGATGACCCTATGAACCCCTTGACTCCTCAATTGCTTTTCAAGTGTATTTTGGAGCAGTATTCCCCAATTTCAACGAAAATTTCAGTACATATTGAGATTATATCGGGTAACTGAAGTAGTCACTTGGAATTCAATTCACTGAAAATCAACACTGGGACCCTCATGAGTTAGGGGAGCCCGAAACTTTCAATTAAGTCTACAGCCTTGGCCATAAAGTCGATTTAATAGAAAACTTAAAAAAGATGTGCTTTATTATTTCAATTACTATTAGTCTGAAATCTGTCATTTGGCTTGAAATTTGGGACCCCAAGAGTGAATCAATAGGAATCTCCAAATTTTCAAATTGCTTCGATTTCGACGGAAATTTACATGTATGTTACAATCTAAAATGAATCAAAAACGATTATCAGAACTGCTGCTACTCGACCTGTCGAAACTGAGTTCTCCACTAACTTAACCGATTATCGAACTCACACTCTTTGGGTGCCTAGAGGGGGAGAAATTAACAGGAGATAACTGATAACTGACATCCATTAAACATGGCACGTGAAACTAGAACAGTCTACCCCAGCGAACGAAATAAAGGGTTCAGTTCAACATTCCAACCACCTGAAGAAGGTCGGAGCGTACAATGGCCGAAACGTTGTAATAAATATGACGACAAAGATGAAGACAATAGTCCGAATAATGTAAATAGTGTACATAATACCTTATCTCAGAAATATAGACAGATACTGAAAGGCCGAAACGTTGTAATAAATATGGCGACAAAGATGAGGGGAATAGTCCGAATAATGTAAATAGTGTACATAATACCTCATCTCAGAAAATAGACAGATACTGAAACGAAACGTTCTAATAAATATGGCGACAAAGATGAGGGACAAAGTCGAATAATGTAAATAACCTCATCTGAAATATAGACAGATACAAAGGCCGAAACGTTTGTAATAAATATGGCGACAAAGGTGAGGACAATAGTCCGAATAATGTAAATAATGTCCATAATACCTCATCTCAGAAATATAGACAGATACTGAAGGGCCGAAACGTTGTAATAAATATGGTGACAAAGATGAGGACAATAGTCCGAATAATGTAAATAGTTTACATAATACCTCATCTCAGAAATATAGACAGATACTGAAAGGCCGAAACGTTCTAATAAATATGGCATCACAGATCAGGACAATAGTCCGAATAATGTAAATAGTGTCCATAATACCTCATCTCAGAAATATAGACAGATACTGAAAGGCCGAAACTTTGTAATAAATATGGCAACAAAGATGAGGAGAATAATCCGAATAATGTAAATAGTGTACATAATACCTCATCTCAGAAATATAGACAGATACTGAAAAGCCGAAACTTTGTAATAAATGTGGCAACAAAGATGAGGAGAATAGTCTGAATAATGTAAATAGTGTACATAATACCTCATCTCAGAAATATAGACAGATACTGAAAGGCCGAAACGTTGTAATAAATATGACGACAAAGATGAGGACAATAGTCCGAACAATGTAAATAGTATCCATAATACCTCATCTCAGAAATATAGATAGTGTCTGTTGTGATTGAACCTGTCACGCTGGTATAGCCGGAAAAATGGTTCCTATGGGCTGTGGTGGCTGAACAGGTTGGAGTGAACCATGGAGAGGATTTGGATTTCACCTGGTATTTCCGAGAAGGTGCAAAAACATCGATGCCAGGATTTGACCCAAGAAGAAGCCTTGAATGGCACAATTCTCAATAGGTAGGTTAAAAATAGCAATTAGAGGGGCGTCACGAATACAGTCGCGAAGTGTACCCCAGTCAGCATGTTGGTACCGGAAGGAGGTCTTTTGCATAGGAAGTTCCTGTTTAATGGTTGACTGGAACGAAATATCAATAGCTACTACAGTATGATCCAAATTACCAAGGGGAGAGGGGAAAGAGGTGGGAGAGGATGTAAGGAACAAATCAAGTGAGGAAGCATGTTGATCGGATTTATTAAGGAAAAAGAGTAAGGAAATCCACTAATTGCATAAGGGGCTGGGCAAGGGACAGAATTGAATGTTTGAATACCAGGAACATGAGTAACATTAGAACGCTTAGGCCACCTGTCATGACGAGCATTGAAATATTTGCAGAGAGAGGAAGGGAGAGAGAGAGTGGGAGAGAGAATTAGAGAGAGAGTGAGAAAGAGATAGAGAGAGTGTCAGAGTGAGAGAGAGAGGGAGTGATAGAGTGAGAAAGAGTGGGAGAGAGTGGGAGAGAGAATGAGAGAGTGAGAAAGACATAGCGAGAGTGGAGAGAGTGACAGTGTGAGAGAGTGAAAGCGCGAGAGAGAAAGAGTTAGAGATAGAGTCAGAGAGTTAGAGAGAGAGAGTGAGGGAGAGAGGGAGACATATATAGAGAGTGAGAGAGAGTGGGAGATAGAGTGAAAAGGTTAGAGAGAGAGTGTGAGAGAGTGAAAGGGTTAGAGGGAAAGTATATATATATATATATATATAGAGAGAGAGAGAGAGAGAGCCTTTTCCATACTGTCAGAAATTTTGTCCAATATACTCCAGTAAGGAGAGGAGTGAGAGCGGTAAAGTAGGAAAAGAGAGCTAACAGTGTGAAGTAAAGAAAGTCGAAAGCACATGAAAGACTAATCAGGTGATTCAATTTGCTTGACATTGCAAATATTCTGCGAAAGTTGCTATCTGTTTTACGATTTGATGGTGAACACCCATAATGCAATTTATCATTGCTTAAAGCAGGCTCGTGAGTTACCATTGTTTAATGTACCTCCTAATATTTGCAATGAAAAACAAATTTCGGTAAACATAGACAAACATACCCACAATTAGACGAAAGCTTTTTTTAACTACTTTCACTCTTCGGAAATGTTTATTGTTGGAAAAACCGATGATTAGCATTGGAATAAAACCTAAAAATATAAAAGCAAATTTATACATCATTTTTTTTTTTCTTGGGAATTGACAACAAAGTAACACTATTTATTCATTAGATTGTTTATTGGAATGCTTTGCAAAACATCGGCTAATTGCCAATCCATTCAAACTGTATAAAATAGTAAAATAAGGATTTTGTTATATTCTGCGAAAGGTGCTATCTATCGTACGATTTGATTCTGAACACCCATAATGCATGATTATCGGTTGAAAACGAAAACACATACGAAATAATAATAATAATAATAATAGTAGTAGTCATCCGTTTATCTTGTGAGGTAATGTTAGCGCTGTTTGGTCTAAATTCATTTCTTTGGTAGTGAGATTAGAATAATTTCTCGTAGGTACAGAACTGAACGTAGATCTGCTGTGTGATGGTATATGGAAACCATAAACTGCCCGGACCACGTGATTACCCACTCAGTTGACCGACAAGACCCAAAGAAGCACAGGGCTTTACATTTCGGTCCGGTTTGGCTGCAGGATTTGCCGAAAGGTGGATTGGATTGAAAGACAACAGCCTTCGGGTTTTCACTCCGGATTTTCTGTCTGAAATTATTTCAATAATCTTTTCTGTATTTGGATATGACCGCAAGGCAAGGGATGTTTCAAATAAGTGATTTTTTCTCTACTATAGAGAAACACAAGATGAACTGCCTTCCGAGCTCCATCTACCAAGTAGCTGGTTATGAGGCGCCAGTGGTCCACCTTCTACTCTAACTATCTATAAAATGCTCCCATGGCATAATAAAATAAATAAAATAATAATAAAAGCACGTTAAATACGAAAAATTGATATAATTTGTTATGGGTGCACACGCACAAGCACACATATATTGGGTAATAAGAGGAAAATATTGGATAATATTGGTGTTATGGTAATTTACCCACGCACGCATGGACTCTCCCAGCTATAAATAGGAGCAGGTACTGCCTTTTGTTATGGTAATTTACCCACGCACGCATGGACCCTCCCAGCTATAAATAGGAGCAGGTGTGGCACCTTGCATTATTAGAAATATTCATAGAAATATGATTTAATTTTTTTTTTACTCGGTTTATTAAACAGGTTGTTGATTTTTTTTTAAACGGAAAATAATTGAGTTGAAAATAATTCACTAAGTTGTACTTAGACGATCCTAAGGAAAGAAGAAGGAAGGGGAAAGAAAAAGAGGAAGAAAGGAAAAAAAAGGAAAAGAGATGGATGATGCATGACCCGGTCATAAGCGAAGATAGGTGTCAGAAAGATATCTTGGCCTGCGTGTTGGCCGAATTTTAAAAGACAATAGAGAATTGTTATTTGAAATGAAAAATCATTTAGAGGAGAAAAAGAACCAGGCTTGATGACAGTGTATTGGCGATAAGAATATCGGTCAAAGCACCTAGCCTACTTTTGCGTGGAAAGACTCATTGTCAAATTGGAGAAAGGGAATTTCTTTTTAGAACAATAGAAACGAAATTTTTTTTAATCGGAGAAAAAGTGTCTTTTGGGTTGAGGGGAGTGACCGGTGGAACTGTATACAGATTCTGGCCTGTTAAGAATTGGAAACCCACGATAATAAAGTGGGGACATTTTCAATGTAGATAATTAAGATTTTCTGACTGTCGGGTCTGACAAAAAACAAGAGGTGAAAAAAATTGTCTCAGCTCACAGATGGCGCCAATATTCTTTCCTGAAGTCACATCTAATTAGCGGCAGGCTGTTTTGACAGAGCCCAGGTGAGAAAAAGCCAAGATTGTCATTTTCGTACGTGAAAAAAGGGCAAAATTAGATTTTTTTTTTTAAAACAAGAACGATGTAAGCCACGCCCGATTTGAGATGGGAGGCGCCCAACCACAATCTCATTGGCCGAGGGCGGTCACGTGATATGCGGAAAGAAGAGGAAGAATGCTCGATCAGGAACCATTGGTCAAAAAAACGGTCACCTGACATACGAGAAACCGGGAGAGATGGGTGTACGCCTCCCCACCAAAGGCACTGTGAGGAAGTAGGGGTGAAAACAATAGCGATAATGGGGAAACAGAATTAATGCGGCTATTGGAATTATCGAGAAACCCCTGACGCCAACAGACCCACCCCGGTTTGCTGCGGCGTCAATAAAAGCAGGACCCCAGTCGACAGAAATCAGTTGAGTTGAGAGTTTCGGCAGAGTTGCAGCTGGACCGCGGGCAGGGATAGAGCCTGAACGCGGCCATCAGGCCCGATTCACTCGCCCCTTTGCGGGCAAGAGAATCCTCAGACAAGAAATCCTTCCACCCAAGTCGAAGACAAGAGAACTTCCAGCCCAAGCAGACGAAGAAGAAGATTACTCGAAAGCCGCAGAGAAGTTGCACCCAAGTCGAAACAAGAAATCCTTCCAGCCCAAGTTGAAACAAGAAATCCTTCCAACCCAAGTCGAAGACAAGAGAAGTTCCATCCAAGTAGACGAAGAAGAAGATTACTCGAAAGCCGCAGAGAAGATCCAGCCCAAGTCGAAGACAAGAGAAGTGCTATCTAAGTCGACGAAGAAGAAGAAATACAACTCAAGTCGAAGAGAAGAATCAACTGCGAATGATCGATAGAAATTAGCCCCAGTGTCGAACCAAACCACACTCCGACATACACAATTCTAAAGAGTAGGCAATTCGAAATCTTTAGGTTGTGTGATAGAAGCTTGGTGCCATAGTCCACAGAGCGGGTCGGGAAATGAGAACAATTTTGTTTTTATGTAGCGGACATTAGATATAAAAGGTTGTTACCCTTTTTTTTTTATCAGCAATCTTTTTGTCTCGTGAGATTTTTTTTTCTTTTACTTGTGTTTTGCCACCCCGTCGGACTCAACTTGTATCGGCCCCGATCCCTGCTGGTCCCGTCTGTCTAAGATCTAAACACAGCGTGGGTAGACAGACCGGAGATCAGTACAGTTGCTTCAGTAACCAGGTATTGGAAGCGAGTTGGAAAGGCGAGGCTGGTGATCATCTAACCAAGGGGTTGGATCGGCACGCTTGGAACCAGGAGGAGCGACCAGGAGGAGCGACGTCAGAGGTTAACGCCGTAACAGTTGGCGCCGTATTCGACCCTGGGCCAGGTGTAACCGTCACACAGGTACTGCCTTTTGTTATGGTAATTTACCAACGCACGCATGGACCCTCCCAGCTATAAATAGGAGCAGGTACTGCATTTTGTTATGGTAATAAACCCATGCACAAATTGATTATCCCAGTTACAAATAAGAGCAGGTACTGCTTTTTGGAGAGTGTAGTTTCCAGCAGTCAGCTCTGACAGTCACACTTAACATTCTTTCTCGTTTGAATATGATTGTATTACTGTTTTTCTGTTAATGTATTTGTTAACTTAATTCTTCTCTTTGTGTCTTTATTTCTGGCCCCAACAATGCCACAACACTTTTGGAGAGGGAAGTATCCAGAAGTCAGCTCTGACACTCGGGCTGAACATTCTTTCTGTAACACTCTCTTTTATATATGTTTTGTTTTGCTGTTTCTGTTAATATATTTGTTTAACGTAATTCCTATATTTGTGTCTTCATTTCTGGCCCTAACAAGGCCGCAACAATTAGGTAAGAAGAGGAAGATATTGGTTAACATTGGGTAATAAGAGGAAGATATGTGTACGGATGATGATAATAAAGGATCGACCATAAATAGTGATAGAAGTGGAGTAAAAAAAGAAGACCTAGCAAGATAGGCGGAGAGAACAAAGTAATTTATGTTACTAATCAGATCGATGAGAAGCATTAATTCATCAATGGGAGGTCATAAGAAGAATAAAAAAACAGCTCAGTGAAACATCTAAAAAAAAGATATAAAAAGTTCGACTTATCCATTAATCAAAATCCACTACATAAGTCAGTTTTGTCATACATTACCTGTGTCCTGTCTCTGATGGTAAAAATAACTCGTTCATTAAAGAAGGGTAGAGTTTGGTAGGAGTCATTTAGACACCTTCAGGAAAACGAAAGAAAAACAATTAAAACAAAAAAAAAAGAAAGAAACGGTTTATATACGTAGTGGGTGCTGAATAATTTCAATTTCAAAAAACCAATAACATGAGCAACTATATAAAAAAATTACAATACTTCTTAGTCAAATCAAGAATGCTTCAGCGTCCTTTTATACAGGTAGAAAAATACATTCAATTAAGACCAATAATATATAACATTACAGGTTGATTAGGACTTTAATTTATCGCTAAGTATCACAAATCGTCAAACATACATTATTTACATTATTCGGACTATTTTCCTCATCTTTGTCGCCATATTTATTACAACGTTTCGGCCCTTCAGTATCTATCTATATTTCTGAGATAAGGTATTTTGTTCGCTTTTTACATTATTCGA